CTTTGGGTTTTTTTTTTTTTTTTTTTTTTTTTTTTTCCTGCTAATATTAACCTTGCATGTGGCTTTTGATGGTGCAGGGAGGAAAGGGGCTGCTCAAACTCCAGAGTGTGGCAAAAGTCTTGTGCCTTAATGCCCATGTAGGCACGTGGCTGGCATCTGAAGTGGGGAAGGGAAATTTCTGCTCTAAGGCAGCAGAAGACCTCCGGGTGTCTGTCCATAACTGTGCCCTTCAGAAAGGTTAGTCTGCAAGGGATCGTCCGGGCGAGGACTCCTGGATTCCCTTCCTGGCACTTCGGCCGCAGGCGAGGGTGGCTGGGGGCAGGACCTCTGAGAGCCTGCTTCTGAGGGTGCCTTTTGGGGTCAGGGCTGGGTGTTTGGGTGCCAGTGGGATGCTCCTAGCTCCTGGCTTTCTCTGCTGCCTCAGCTGGTTTTCAGTAATAAAAGGAGGTGGGGGCCAGGAGCGCCGCACTTCTTGTCCCAAAGGCTGCTCCTTATCGGCAGTGTCAACAAACCCAGTATCAACAGGGCGCTGGGTTTACTGTATTCACTCAAGCTCAGCCCATCCCTTCCTGGTGCTCCCTCCCCCAGATCAGCTGAGTAAAGTGTGTGCATGCTCTTCTCCCCGGCAGGAGTCCGGCGCGCTCCAGACCCCGCAAATGGATCGGCACGCGAATGGAGCAATGGCCGAGAAGCAAAACCCCGTGGACTACGGGGTCCAGATCCGCTTCATCGATGACCTGACGGAGCCCAAGAAGCCCCACAAGATTCGGTCCAAGGCGGCCAAGCCAAGCTCTTACGGGGTGGCAGTGCGGGTACAGGGCATCGACGGGCAGCCCTTCGTGGTCCTCAACAGCGGGGAGCGTGGCAGCGACTCCTTCGGCGTGCAGATCAAAAGTGAAAGTGCGTACAGCGGCCTCCCTGCCGCTCAGCCGTCGCCTGCCAGCTCCCCCAGTCGCTACCCCAAGGAGACTTCGGGTTCGCTCAGCTCCGACTCCGACCTGCCAGAGAACGCCTACGCGGCACGGCGCGCCCGGTACAGCACGTCCGACGAGGAGCAGAGCTCCCGGCCCCGTGGAAAGGGACCTCTGGCTGGCCCTGCCCGGTCCCGGTCCCCTCAGGGTGGCCGCCGGCCGCTGCTTCCCAAGAAGCCGTTTGGCGATGAGCTGAGGCGGACGCAGTCTCACAGCTCTCTGCTGGGCCCCGAGTCGGGGGAGCCCTTCGTCCCGAGCCGTCCCAGTGTGCAGACCAACGGCACCGCTCAGCCACGGCTGCTGGGCAAGGCCAAGAGTGGCAGCATGGTGAACATCGCTGTCCAGAAGGGGCCCGAGGCGAGCAAGAAGGCCTCTTCTGCCTTTGGCCAGCAGCCCCTTGGCAAGCAGCCGCCTCCTGACCCAGAGTCCTCCAGGCCCAGCCCGCTGGCCGCCATGGGCGACATCGACACGAAGCCCCTGTCCTCGGTGGATTCCCTCATCAGCAAGTTTGACGGGAAGGTCCAGCAGCGAGGCCGCACTGCCCGCCGCAGCCGTATCCCCCCGGACGAGAGGAAGCGGTCGCAGAGCTTGGATGGGCGCACGTCCTACCATGATACAGCGGACTCCCGGGAGCTGACCACCGCCAAGCATCAGCCCGGCTTTCAGGAGGGGCTGAAGCCGCCTGCTGTCACCTTGCATGCTGGCAGCCTGCCCAGGACAAGGAGGGAAGACTTGAAGACTGGTGTGGCCAGCAGGTCCCAGCCCACACGGGACTGGGCAAATAATGGCCCTGAGGAACCTCTGGTGGAGCAGCAGCAAAGTCAAGTGCAGTCGGAGTTGCAGGTAACGTATCCCCTTGACAGGGCTGCGTCTGTGGGGACCCTGGTGCAGCCAAATGCTCTTGAGGCCTTTGAGTCACCCTCCCCTTCCCAGCAGAGTGGGCAGAGGGGGACACGCAGCATTTGTGTGTGCTCAGCTCCGCCACTCGTGGACTGCTCTGGGGTGAGCCATGAGTGGTACTCAGCTGTGTGTCTGCCTTGGAGATGCTTCCTGGCCGCGGACTGTGCCAGGCATGGTAGGTGGCAGCAAGTCCTTGCCTTTGTGGCACTGCGGGGACCCTTTCCAGGCACTTTCTGCACTGGATGTTCCCCCGGCTTGGCTCTTCTGGCTCCGCTTGGCCTGGTACATCCAGGGCATCGCTGCCAGTCCCCTGTGCCCAGTCCCACCCATGTCGACGGGACAAGCAACACACTTTCCTCTCTGTTGGGAGTGCAGGTGGTCATAAGTGGCTGGGCTCTCTCCCGGTGAGAAGTAGTCTGCGCCCTGTGGGCAGGGCGTCCTGTGCCCAGAAGCAGTAGCATTGACTTGCTCCATAGCATCCGGTGCTGGCTGCCGTGGCAGGCAGAACGGGTGGTTTTGCTGCAGGGCAACAAACCTGCATGTGAATCTCTTGGGCAGCTCAAGTCCACTCCGGACCTACTGAAGGACCAGCAGGAAGCGTCTCCGGCTGGGAGCAATGAGCACGTGAAGGAACTGATCTATGCTATCCTGAAGGACGGGTGAGCGGGTGCCCTGGGGAGGGTGTCTTGGCTGGTGCCGCTCCTGTTAGCTCCAGCTGAGTCTTGGGGTGGGGGAGGTTGGTTCAGTGTTGTCCAGCGCCCGCAGGAGGTTTGGCCAGGCTGGGCTGTCTGGAAAATCTGATCTTCCTCATGCAGGAGACCTGGCTTCTTTGAAATCAGTCCTGTAAGGCCCAGGCATGTTGTGTGCTGAAAGCCTGGACTCCACAGGGTGGTTGTTAACCTCCCTTGCATGCCAGCTCCAAGGTCTCCTGGGTGTCTTGGGGGTGCAGGTGGTGACTGGCCGAGCCAGCGAAGGGGACTCACTTCCAGTGCAGTGGGTTCCTGTTGCACTAGCCCCGGAGCTGGGACGTGCGCGAGAAAAAGGCAATGGCTGATCGTGCTGCAGCCGGACTGCAGAAGCCTCCTTTTGAGGCAGTTACATCTGGTGTCCCGTGCAGGCCTTTCAGATTCAGACCTCTTGAAAGGGGCAAATGTGAAGGCCATGAATTTGGCAAAAATAAGGAGGGAACAGCCCTTCTCCCCCAGGTGGGTTTATCCTAGGGGTTTCCCTGCATCAGCAGCTTGGGCAGGATCAGGTGCCGCCTTGTGCCAACTGCATCTGGTCACCTCCCAGTCTCCAGTATCCTTCTTCCATAGCTCCCTTCGGCTAAGCGACTCCCACCGGTTCACCCAAGACACCAGTGGTGGAGTTGGGCATGATCCGATATCTCCCTGGCTCTAGCCCCTCTTGCCTCTGCCTTGTGGCCCTGATGCAGCTGCTTGCCTGTGTCCATGATCCCTGCCTCCTGCCTTTCTAGGAGCAAAGACAGTGAAGTCATGCTAAAGAGGAAGGCAAACCTGCTGCTGGAGAAGGTCCAGGAACTTGCGGTGAGTCGAGCCCCTTCCCTCCCATGGAGGAAAGAGCAAGTGCCTTGCCTGTAGCTTTGGGAAAGCTGAAAACACCTGGCGCCAAGGGAGAGAGCTGGGTTTGCCCTGCCTCTGCCACAGGTGGCTGTAGTGACCTGGAGCAAGTCCACTAGCCCCTGGGTAGCTCAGGAAGCAAGTGGAAGGGGAGATGGTGGTGGGGAGGCTGCTTGGACGGCTCTGATACTGAGGTAGTTTGAGGGGGACCGGAAATGGCAGGGGGGCTCCGCTGGATGGCAACAACAAAGCCTCGAAGTGAAGAGCTGCCCTCAATGGAGGAGACCGAGAAGGGAGTGAAGGGGCTCTGGGACCCGTCTCTGGCGGAGCAGGGGTCGGAGGCCAGGCCCAGCCCAGTGCCATCTGCTTCCGCCCGGTTCCCTAGCTTGGGATTTGCAACCAAATACAGTGTCTTCTGCAGGTGCCTCCTGAGGACACGGGAGCCCCCAGCCCCCAGCAGGCCGAGCTGGCGCGGAGGGTGGAGGAGCTGCAGCACAAGCTGGATGAGGAGATGAAGGTGAGGGGCCGGGTGCTTGGGAGCGGAGAGGGCAGGGTGGCCTGGAGGGGCTGCCAGCCTTTCTCAGGAGTGGGGAGTTGGGAGAGGGGCTGGGGGCTCCTCGCAACCCTCGGCGCAGCGTGGGAAAGAGCCATTGGATCTGTCGCAGCCTCTGGTGACTAGACTGGTATAACACTGAGGGGCAGGCGGCAGCCTCCCTGGCAGTGCCTCCATGGTGGCATCTCAGCCACAGTGGGTGGGTTTGTCTGTGCTACCACAGCCCTGTACAAAACCCGTGGAGGAGTGATAGCCCTCTTCCCCTCCAACCAGCTGGGACTTGGCTCCAAGCCGGCCCAGCCAAGCCGACTCCACAGCCAGCCTGACTCCAGGGGCCCGAGGGATCCAGCTGAGCAGATAGGGATGCATGCCAGGCCGAGGTGCCAGCTGACGCGGTGTCCCCCTGAGCCTGTGTTTCTTGGGGAATAAATAACTCCATCCTCTCCCACCTGCAACAGCTCCGCCAGAAGCTGGAGCTCACTAGGGAGTCTCCCAGGAGCAGCGCCATGCAGGACCTGGAGCTGCGGCTGGCCAGGGTGGAGGAGGAGAGCCAGCGCCTCCAGGGAGCCCTGGAGAAGAAGAGCCAGGAGCTGCAGAGCAGCTTGAGAGAGTAAGAGCTGCTCCCTGCACCCAGAGCTGGCTCTGGGCCTGGGGGTTACGAGCAAGAGCAAAGTGCTGTATCCCCTCGGCTTGCCTACTCCCTCCCTTCGCTTCAGCCAGGAGAGAAGATCCCTTACATTCCCCTGGGCACCCAAAACAGGCAGTCTCCTTCCCAGCTCAGCTCGTTACCCCCACTCAGGCTGCCCTGCCAAGGGGTCAGACCTCTTCCCCTGCTGGGCTGAGACTCAGCCCCTCCAGTCTGGCTCAACAGGGCTTGTGCTTGCTTCCTCCCCACCCCTAGGCTGAACGAAGTGAAAAGGGCCAGAGAGCAGGCCGAGGCCAGGCTGGGTGACTGCGAGGAGCAGTTGATGGGGATGCAGGAGGAACTTGACCGCTTCCGGCAAGGCATGGGAGATGTGCCTGAGGGGGACGCGCTGCTGAAGGTATGTGGGTCCACTGGCACCGCTGGGCTGGATTCAGCAGGTGAAAAGGGGCCAGCTGTGGCAGCAGACAGACCCTGAGCACAGCTGCAGGGGTGAAACTGGCCAGGGAAGGTGATGGGGGAAACTTGAGGCACAGCAAAGTGACATGGATGAGGCAACTTGGGCAGCTGGTGGCAGAGCTGGGCCCAGACCAAGCTCCCTGTATCAGCATCCCTATGGCCCCGCAGGACCTGCTGGAGACCCGGGAAGAGCTGGAGGAGGTGCTGACTGCCAAGCAGCGGCAGGAGGAGCACCTGCGGCAGCGTGAGCGGGAGCTGACGGCACTCAAGGGCGTACTGAAGGAGGAGGTGGCCAGTCACGACAAGGAGCTGGACCAGCTGCGGCAGCAATACCAGCATGATGTGGACCAGCTGCGGCGCAGCATGGAGGACGTGTCCCAGGCAGGGCCTTCTGCAGCGCAGGGGGAAGGAGAGATGGGGCTGTGGCCTGGGGCCAGCAGGAACCACAGGCTGGCTGGAGTCTTCCCAGCTTCCCTCTGTCTGGGACTGGGCTTTGTTCTCGACTTCCTGTCCTCAGTATGCCTGGCGCTGCCATGCTTCTGAGCTGGCAGCTCCCCTGGTCGGGGCTACCCCAGGTGGACTGGGATCTTTAGTCACATCAGCCTCTGATGTGGGCAGCCACGTGCACACCCCCCCAGGCTGGAACCATGTTGTGCATCAGCACTGGTGCTACAGGGGCTTCTCCTTGCATCCAGGTTGCCTAGGTGTAACTGGGCAGGGTTGGGGTGGGTGCAGTGACCCCAGCTCCCAGAATCTTGTGCTAAAGGGGGCAGGGGGGAATCCACCAGGCATCACTTTGCCCCCTCCCCCCCCACCCAATGCCAGCCTGCCCCTCCCCTGCCCTTAGGACCAAGCCAACCTGGAGACGGAGCGGCAGAAGATCAACTCGATAGTGAGGAACCTGCAGAGGGAGCTGGCAGAGAGCACCGAGGAGACTGGGCACTGGAGGGACATGTTCCAGAAGAACAAGGAGGAGCTGCGCAGCACCAAGCAGGAGTAGGTGCCGAGCTGCCCCTGTGGTGACTAGGGAGCTATTGGGTCCAGTCCAGCTGCCCCTGCAAAGCTGGCTAAAGATAACGTGATGAAGGCTGGGATGGTGGGAGCTGCAGAAGGGAGAGGGGGGCTTCAGTCTCACCTGGGCTGTGCTTGGCCACTGGTCAGGTTCACAGCTCATTGGTGCCAGGGGATCATAGCAGAGGGGTCCTCTTGGGTGGAGGGAGGGGTGGGCTGGCAGGGGACACGCGCCTCGCTCCCTGGGACAGGCTGGGATGACCCTGTGCAGCCTTCATCATCTTGGCCCCCAGCCAGCCATGATAATGGGCTCTGTCACAGTCCCCTGGAGAAGCTCACCCTGTCCTATCCCCCCCCTCCCCACCACCACTGCAGGCTGATGCAGGTGAAGCTGGAGCGGGAGGAGTTTGAAGAAGAGCTGCGGGAACTGCGGGAGCGATTCTCAGCCGTGCGGCTGCAGGCCGATCAGGCTCGGAGCAGCGCCACAAACACTGGCGAACTTGAAGCCCTCAAGAAGGTGCTGCCTGCTGCTGGGGTGTGAGGGGCAGGCAGAAACAGGCCCCAGAGACTTCTCCCCACCCCACAGGGAGCCCTTGAGGCCGGGCCAGTGCTGGGATGACCAAGCACGCGGGGCCTGCGGAGACATGGCCACAGCGTGCTGCCTCGGGGCCCCTCCCTGCTCTCAGAGCTCATGGGTATCCCCCCTCTTCCACCCTAGGAGCTGCGCCAGGCCCGGGAGGAGCAGAGGGAGCTGACAGCTGAGAAGCAGGCGCAGGATGAGCTGCTGCGGCAGCGGGAGAGGGAGCTGCTGGCGCTGAAGGCGACGCTGCAGGAGACAGCAGGCAGCCACAGCCGGGAGCTGGAGCAGCTGCAGGAGCAGTTCCAGAGGAGCCTGCAGCAGCTGCAGAAGGACTCGGACGAGGCTGTCAAGGCAAGTGCTCCCTGTAGGCTCCTTCTCTCTTCCTGGGTGACGATGGATGCAGGTCAGGAAGGGGTGTGCATGTGACGGGCTAACAGAGGCTTCTGCATGCCCCACAGACCCCAGGCATCTTCCCAGCCTGCAGACCTGCCCCCCAACATCCCCAGGGAGGGCTCCGTCCTTGCAGAGACCCCATGATAGAGGCTAGAGCCTTGGGGCCTGTTGTCTTTGGGTTGTGTATTGGGGTCCCACCCTTCACCTGGGCTTGGAACTCACCCGCCCATCTCCGCAGGGGAAGGTGGTGCTGGAGAGTGAGCGGGAGGTGGCAGAGCAGACGCGGAGGGCAGTGGAAGCCACACTGCGGGAGACACAGGAGCATAATGATGACCTGCGCAGGAAGGTCCTGAGTCTGGAGGCGCAGCTCAAGGACTACCGGCATGTGGCTGAGGACTGGGAGGGTGTCGAGGCCCGTCTCAAGGACAAAATCGCCAAGCTGGAGGTAGGGGACCATGGCAGCCTGCTCTCCTCCACGGGACTGGGCACCAGGGCCCCCATGTGTTGGTGCAGCCTCTAAATGGACCGTGGCACAAGCTCTGCCTTGTAAGCTCCAGGCCAGTGGTGTGCAGGTGGAGGACAGACTACTAGAAGCCAGTGTCCTGGGTCCCAGTGCAGGCTTGGTTTCCACTGATGAGAGATGCCCCATCCAGCCACCCTGCCCCAGGCCCTGAGCATCACTAAAAGCCCTTCCTTGCAGGCGGAGCGCCGGCAGATGGAGGAAACTCTAGGGGAAGCCACTGACCAGGAGCAGGAGCTGCTGCTGGTTAAGAGGACCCTGGAGAACCGGCTGGATGAGGCCCAGCGGAGCCTGAGCCGACTATCACTGGAGCACCAGGAGCTGAGCTCCTCCTACCAGGAGGAGCTGCGGCAGAAGGAGCAGCTGAAGAGGCTGAAGATAGAGATGGAGGAGCAGAAGCGGCTGCTGGACAGGACTATCGAGAAGCTGACCAAGGAGGTGGGCGAGGCCCCAAGGTCTAACTCAAGCTGTCCAGAAGGGGCTGCATGACATGTAGCCATGGTGTGGGGTGCACCTGGGGAGCAAGGCCACATGGCCACCTGGGCCACCAGCTGCTCAGGCCCCAGAGCCAGTGCTGTCTTGGACGGCTGGAGCTAGCCCTCCCCGCTGGTGGGGTGACCACAGGAAAGGCCTGGGGGTCCAAGCTGTGGGGAGCAGCTCCTCATGGGGATGGAGGTTTGGGAGCTGGAACCACTCCCTTGACTTGGAATTCAGGTGCATTCAATCCAAGACCTCTGGGGGGGTCATATGTGGACACTGAACCACAGGCTTGTTCCACTGCATGGCCCTCAGCCTCTGGAGAGCACCAGTGTTGCCCACAGCAGGTCTCTGTGCCCAAACCCAAAAGCTTCCATGGTGACCCTGTCCCAACCCACCTTACTGGGATGACCTCTTCTCTCCTCCACACAGCGTTTCCCTGTCTCGCCACATTTGGTGGTTTCCATGTGGCACCCCTGGCTCCAGAGAGGTTGGTAGCAGTCGTCCGTAGATCTCCAAGTGCTTCTCTCTCCCTGCTGCAGATGGAGCAGATGGCTGAGGAATCCCACCACTCTCTGGCCCTGCTGCAGTCGCAGCTGGAGGACTACAAGGAGAAGTCGCGCAAGGAGCTGGGGGACTCCCAGAAGCAGGCCAAGGACCGGGGTGCAGAACTGGAGAAGGCACAGTTCAGCCTGGCCCGGCTGCAGGATGAGGTGTGGTCCCTACTTTGGACAGGGATCCAGTGCAGTTCCTGGGGGAGATGATGCCCCTTATGCGCCACCCCACGTAATGGCAAATGTCCAGCCTGCCCTAGAGAGATTTCAGCCCAGCCCCTGGCACCAACTCACATGTAACAGTGGGTGTGACTCCCATGTATCATCCCTGCTCCCAGCTGCCCAGTTCATGCCTGGCATGGTCTGAGCCTCACTTGTCTTCTCTCCCTTCTGTCTCATTCAGCAGAGTAGCAAGAGGCTCCCTCCCTCCTTCCTGGCTGGACCCAGCTCCCTGTTCGGGGAGTAGGGGTCTGTGACCCCAGGGTCTGAGCTTGTCCCCAAGCCTGGCTGCTCCCAGCCTGGGGCACTGGGCAGCGCAGATCTGGGGTGAGGGAAGGTTACATGCTTCCGTGTCCCTCTCTGAGCTGGCTGCTTTGCAGAGTGCTCCTGTTGTCCAGAGCGTGCATGGCTTTGCTCTCTGGGCCATTTAAATCAGCCCCATCAGGTGGGTCCAGTGCCTGGGCCCCCGCAAGTGCCCTGGGACCCGAGTCTCTGACCACCCAGTGCAGCAGCTCTGCCCACTCCCTGCGGCTGAGGTGGGCTGGCTGTGGTGCCTCTGCTGGACATGTCCCTGGGGACCCAGCCTGCACCATTCCTGCCCCAGCCCAGACCCGCCGCCCCCTCTCCCTTCCTTCCCACAGGTCACGCGGCTGAAGCAGGCCCTGCAGGACAGCCAGGCAGAGCGGGAGAGTGCCGTGCTAGACAGAGAAGTGCTTGCCCAGCGTCTGCAGCACCTGGAGCAGCAGGCGGAGGTCAAGAAGCGCTCTCAGGATGATCGTTCCCGCCAAGTCAAGGCACTGGAGGTGTGTGACCCCTGCCAAGAGCAGCTCCTTGCTGCCACATGGCTGCTGGAAACATGAGGGGGAGCAGCTTTGGGGGCTGATAAGAGGTACAGGGTACTTGAGGCTACCCAAAAACCCACCCAGGGCCTGGATGCTTGCTGTTCTAACCTACGCCAGCACACAACAGCTCGGCAGCTGTTCTCGAGCATTTCACCAACACATAGCAGCTCCCAGATCTGCAGTAGCTTTTCCCAACCCAGGGGCTAGGAGGTGGGGAGCCAGCTTGTTCGACCTGGCAGGGCTGGGAGCTTTCCATGGTGTTTCTCTCGAGCCTGCCAATGGTGAGCAGAGAAGCCAGTCCTTCAGGAGAGTGTGAAACCATGCTCATTCCTTACCCTGCTCATGATGGCGGGGGACAGGGTTGTCCTGGAAAACTTCCCTTCTCTCACCAGAATCCTGTGTGGTTTTTCTTCCCCCACCCCACTGTTGCTAAGTTTGATTGACTCCTTCCAGCTATTTCAGAGGCTGCCTCATTGTGGGGGCTCCACCATTCATGCCAGTCTCTTTTTTGGTGGGTCGCAGATTCCCTCTCCAAATGATCTGTTTTACTGGTCTGTAGCAGCCAGCAGCTGCTTTTACATGGGGCATCACCTCTCTCTGGCTCTGCTGCATGGGTCTAGCTGCCTTCATTCGTTGACAGTCCAAAATGCCAAGTTGCCCGGCACCCCCAGCCAGCCCATTATGAAAATACAAAGGCTCTTTCCTCCTGCAACAACACAAGCCGTTCACACACAGTCTCGTGTGTGGCCTCTTGGTGTCACGGCTCCCCAAACCACATCTGAGCCCAGCGGCCTGGAGGCTCCAGATGTGCTGGAGCTTCTGTCTGCATCGCTGATTCTCAAGCCTCTTGGGGTGTTGTGAGATTCTTTTAAGGTGCAAACAGGTATGCACAATTCACAAAAGAAACCCAGAGATTCCCAGTATGAATCCAGAGCATCACAGACTTCCTGCCTTGCCCATGGGTTTGCTGAGCTTTTTGCCACAGAGGAATTGCTTTGTTGTCTTTCTGTAGTTGGGGAATGAGTGGAAGCTAAGAGCTGGGATTGTCCAAGGCCTGGGGGCTGGAGTCTAACGAGTGAGGACCACTGGTCTATGCTGATCAGGCAGACTGGGGCTTGAAGTCTGCTCAGCTGCCCTGGATTTTAACCTGTGCTCAAGGGTGGCACAGATTTGCCTGGCACATGGTGCCAAGGGCTGTCTTAATGGGTTCCTGCTGCAGTGTGTGGTGAGTGCTGTGTAGCTCAGCTACCTGGTAAAATATTGGAGAACAGTGTCCAGCACAGAGCAGAGGTGAGGAGGATTGTCTAGGGTGGGGTTTATAGACATCCCCCCTGAGAGCATCAGCTGTGAGTGCCGGGCAAAGACGTTTTTTGGCAGTGGGCAGCCTGGGAGCCCAGCGTGTCAGCCGGCTGCATCCTGGGGGAGGAATGGCGTTCCATATCCATCAACTGCCTTATCCTGCTCCCTTTGGCCACTGGCAGGCCAGAGGCCCTCCCTTTAGAGAGGATGAGAAGATTTAATGAGTGGGGGGAGAGGTGCTGGCAGGTAACTGCTTTGCCACATCAAACCCACCTTGGCAACATCAGTGGCATGCCTTGAACAGCCCCTCAAGGAAGTGGGGGTTGGCCTGCTTCCCCACTGGAGGGGTCAGCAAGGGACCTGCACCCATGAATCAGACACTGCTTTTGAGAAGGGCACTGGGTTCTGGGTCCCAGTCCTTCTAGCTGCTCCGCTTCAGTGTAGGGATTGGCCTGGGTGGGCCCAGGTTTGGATTCTGGGCCCTACCCTGGCTTGTGCCAAAATCCCAGTGAAAACCTATGTCCAACATCTTCCTCTGGCGCCTGCAGGGTTAATTGCTGAGCTTCACTGCTGCTCTGGCTCTGGGGGGGAAGGTGTCCCTCACTTCCCCCATCAGCACCCCATAAAGACCTTCCAGGAACAGGTCCCTGGCAGCTCTGGCTGATGGGAATCTCTGCTGTCTCGCAGGAGAAGTCAAAGCGCCTGGAGATGGAGCTGGACGAGGAGCGGAGCTCAGTGGAGCTGCTGACAGAAAGGGTGAACCGCAGCCGCGACCAGGTAAAGCAGGGACATGGCACCATGGACGTCGCACGGAGGAAGCGGGGGCCTGGCCCGGGACTGGGGTTCTCGGTGCTTTGGCACGGCATGGGTCCTGCACCGTGTTGGCATCACTGCTGGCTCCATCCCCTCTGGCTTCAGCTCCATTCCACAGTGGAAAGCTAAAAACAGGCCTTGGATTTCTCCTGGGACAAAGCCTCTAATCCTGGGCTCCTGCACCTGGCCAGCCCTGCTGTCCTTTGTTCAGTACCTCTGAAGTATCCGATTGCCTTGGGGAAATCATGGCTACTTCAAGTTAATTGCCATTCCAGCTGTGTGCGCAAATGACTCTTTCCAGGCCCCCCACCCTTCAACCTGTTTTAATCAGGGCTGATTTAAAGTTGAATTAAAGTGTGAGACTCATCACCACCAGACGTGGGGGAAGCTGAGAGTTTAGCTAGGTTCACAAAGGGATTGGACCTGTTCTTGGAGGAAAGGGCCATCAGTAGCTATTGAGCATGGAGTGAGGGGCACGGCCTCTGCGTCAGAACTGCCTGGATCCTTCAATGCTGGAGGCTGCAAGGGAGGAAAAAAAGGAAGAACCCTGCTCAGACCCAGGTCACTCCTAGCATCTGCGCTCTGCCCGTGTGACATCGGAGACTGGGCAAGACTGACCTAGGGTCTGACCTCCTCAATGGCCGTTCTTACGTCTTTATTATATTTTTATGGCTTGTCCTGGGGCTTTTTGCTCCCATCCAAAGAACCATCATTTACACAGGGCTGGGATGGCAGTTGACTCTGATTAGCACCAATTGGTTGGGGTGGGGGGTACTTCCCTGGTTTTCAGGGTGGGACAAGGGGCTTGAAGGCAGGGTACATCTGTGCCTTCGTAGACGGACTAGATAGGACAGCTGGGGGATGCTGGAACTGGAGACTGCTCAGAAGCCTGTAAAGTACTGCGATAGCACCTTCTTTTTCCCTCTGGGTCAATTGGAGCTAACTTGAGTTAATTGCCGTTCAAGTTGCATGTAGAAAGAATTGTCCCAGGACATTTTGGGGGTTTTTTTGTTGTTCTCCCGCCCTGGCGGGGGGTCGGGCTAGAAGATCTACTAGGTCCCTTCCGACCCTTAATCTATGAATTTGGACCCGGGATAAACCTTATGTCTAGCCCCAGCGTGCTGTTATGCCTACAGCCCGGCCCTGTCCAGACCCCAGGGCCTCGGAGCCAGGGCCTTGTGACTCCTGGCTTTTGGAATACAGTCCTCTCTGTGGCCTCATCCAGGTCCCTTCCTTCTTGCCTCAGTTTCCCCTTCTGTAAAACTGTTGTAGCACCTGGCTGTGCAGGTTTCCATCAAACTGCATGTTCCTGGCAACCTCTGAGCAGGGGCGACTGATTTGACTGCTCCCTGCAGTACTTGTTCTCACCCCATTTCAACGCTTGTTTTCCCCCTTGTTATCCCTCCTTCCTCCAAGCTCAACAGGCAAAATCAGCAGAGCTGCCACTAATATTCTCCCTTGCAGGGCTCCCTCTTGCTGCTGGAGTCTGTGGCTGGTGCTATCCGAGAAGCGCTGGGCTATGGTTGTGCTTGGCAACAAAATCTGTAATGGTCAGAAAATCCAAAGGGGAGGAGAGGGGGGAGACATCTCTGAGAGAGCTTGTTAGCAGCCCTGAAGTCCTATTAGCTGCTAGCATAGCCTGTGGCCTCTGTATGCCCCATCCTGGCTGCTATTGCTGCTGTATTGCTCTGACACTGCAAGGGCAATTGAATCGCACTGAGGAGGGTTTTAAAGGGGCTGGGAGGAGGTTGGCACTTGTTGCTGGCTTATCTGTCTTGGGGTATGTGTGGCTTATTAACTCTTAAGACTGCCTTCAAGTGCAGCTAGAGTTGCTTTACTGCAGTCTCTCCCTGCCCTGAGTTTTACAGTCCAGTGGTTACCCCCTGGTCAGGCAAAACCCCCCAGTCTGTGCCAGCCTCTGTAGCAGGGGGCACGGCCTTCGCCTTGGATCTTGTGAGAGCATTTCAATACCCCTTTCAGCAGCAGGACACTGCCAGCCTTCATCCCCCTGCTTTACCTGGGGCAAGTTTGGGGGCTCTTGGGGCAATGGGCCTTGTAGTCTTGTGCCAGGGCTATAGTTGTAGGAATAGGTGACATGGGCACTTGTCTGGTGTGAGGCCACATCTGGAGTCCTGTTTTAGGCCCCCAGCTACAGAAAAGGGGTGGGCACATCGGACGGATTCCAGCAGAGAGCAGTGAAAATGGTTGTGGAGAGAAACTGAGGGAACTGGGCTGATTTAGTCTGCAGAAGAGAAGAACAAGGCAGGATTTAATAGCAGCTTTCAACTCCCTGTAGGGGGTTGCGAAGAGGATGGAGCTGGGCTGTTCTCAGTGTTGGCAGATGACAGGACAAGGAGCAATGGGCTCCAGTTGCAGCAAGGGAAGTTGAGGTTGGATATTAGGAAACACTTTCTCACAAGGAGGGTAGTAAAGCACTGGAGCAGGCTTCCCAGAGTTGTGGATTCTCCATCCTTGGAGGTATCTAAGGCTCTAGCAGGAAAAGCCATGGCTGGGATGATGTAGTTGGGGCTGGTCCTGCTTGGAGAAGGGGTTGGACTAGATGTGACCTCCGAGAGGGGCTCTGCCAGCCCAGCTCTTCTATGCTTCTGCAATAAGTTGCTGGTTCTCCCATTTCTGGTTGGTGTCTTTTGAAAGTCGGCGTCCGGTCTCTAGGAAGAAGCTGCAGAGCAGCAGGTGTAGCTGCTTGGGGACAGTCAGTTAGGATCCCATCCTCTGGAAGTAGCTGGCAGTATTCAGATTCTGGCTCCCTGTTTGGTCCCAAGTTCCCCAGCCCTTCCATGTCCCTTTGAAATCGAGCCTGGCCGACTGCCTCTGGACAGTGTGTCTTGAGCTCAAGCTGAAATTATGAGCTTGGTGCAGAAATTACAGAACAAGTTTCTCCAGCCCATCCTTGTGCAGGAAGCTAAACTAGATCATCATGGTCCTGTCTTGCTTTAAACTAGATCTGTCCAGGTGGTTATTACCTGCCAAGTCCTGGCCCTGTGTTGCCTGGTTCCCCGAGCAGGTGCCAGCTGACCCATAGGCTCTGGATTGCCTGTTGAGTGATGTGCTGTCACTTCTTTGAGTTGCAGACTTTTGGGGTGTTTCTGTATCATGGTGAGCCGGCTCCCTTTCCAGCCACCCGTAAGGGGGCAGCTGGTGAGCAGTTGGCCGAGAGAGGCTGTGAAGCAAATCAGCTGAGATGTCCGCTTTGTTGGGCGAAGTAGATGTGGTAGGATTGCAGGGCTGGAAGGGACCTCCCAAGGTCATGTCTAGTCCACCCCCCTGCTCATAGAAGTCGAGTCAAAGGGACCTTGTAGATCTTCAAGTCTGACCCCCGCCTGGGGAGGAGAGAAAACTGGGCTGAAATGATCCCAGCTAGGTAGGCATCAAGCCTCCTCTTAGACCCCCAGGGTAGGAGCCAGCACCACTTCCCTTGGAAGTTGGCTCCAGGTCCTAGCCGCCCTGACTGTGAAGTCGTTCTTATGGATATCTAATCTAAACCTCCTCTCCAACAACTTGTGGCCGTTATTCTTTATTATGCCGGGGGGTGCTCGGGGAAACAAGGTCTCTCCCAAGCCCTTCTGGTCCCCCCCTAGTGAGTTTATAGATGGTCACCAGGTCCCCCCATAACCTTCTCTTGTGAAGGCTGAACAGGTTCAGGTCCTGCAGTCTCTCATTGCAGGGTCTGCCCTGTTGTCCCCAGATCATGCGGGTGGCCCTCCTCTGGACCTGCTCGAGGCAGGATCAGTCCTGTCGAAACCATCCCAGCCCCATGTCTGTCCGGTCTGCTCTCAAAAGCTTCCAAAGATGGAGATTCCACCACTTCTAGGTGCCTGTTCTCATGCTCAGCCACACTCATTGCCAGAAAGTCCTCAAATCCCTGAAGGGTGATGCCAGAAAGGATGGAGTTGGGCTTTTCTCTGTGGCTGCTGGGGACAGGGCTAGGAGCAACAGCCTCAAGCTGCAGCAGAGGAAACTGAGGCTGTAGATGAGGAACTACTATTAAATCCCCACCCCCCAGTCGTCTTTTCTCCAGGCTCAATAACCCCAGCTCTTCTAGCCCTTCCTCGTTGGTTTTGGCTCGTCTCCTAGGCCCCTAGGACCTGATCCTGTGCACTCCAGGAATGGGAGTTCTTGGGGCACACAGGATTGGGCTTCTGAAGCTGCAAATGCCTGCCCAGGATAACTGGAGAACATAGGCAGCTTTGGGGCTGCCTGCCATCTCCCACCTTGCAGCAGACCTTGGCCACCACGTGGCAGCATGGATTCATATGGCCTGCATCACAGCCAAAGATTTTAGGCACGACAAGGGGCACAAACGTGGTTGCTTGGCTTTTGCACTGTCAGAAAAATACACGTGCATCTGTGCATCATAACAATACCTGTGGCAACATCTATCTATGCCCAGAAGATGCAAGTCTGCCCTGCCTTCTCAATGACTTCAGGCTAACACAGCTGCCTATCTCTACACCCAGAAGGCTCCCCAGGACATAAAACTAAATTGGCTGTGGGGAGCAGGGGGTGGGCTGGTTAAACTGCATGAAACCCCTGCATGGTGTGAAGTGGTTTAGGCACATGTGAAGCAGTCTAGGTGTGCACACAGGGTGCTGCCAGGGTGCAAACTCGATGCGTTTCCTGCCCTATGCTTCCACCCATGTGCACACCCTTCCTCGTGCACATGAGGCCGCCTGCTGTCATTGATAATGGGGCAAGCACGTGTGTGGGCAGTTGCCGTGGAGCAGCTGCAGTGTGGTCTGTTCACCCCCTCACTCGCTTGGTGGTGGCTGGGGGGAGCTGGGCGCATCCCCTTGTGCCCATGCTTCAGGGCCTGCTCTCATGGCCGCAGGCTGTGGTGGAGCTGGACTCACTGCCCTTCCGAGCCTTCAGCTCCTGTCATGCTCATGGGAGCTGGAGGGGACATGCAGCTGGTCGTGGGAGGCTATGTGTTTATGGGCCCATCCAGAGAGCAGCTCCCAAGCTGGGCCACGGTTTGGTCTGTGTGATTCTCTCTCTTTGGCACGCAGGCCCTAGCATTGCAGGTCTCAGTGATGGGCAAGTGTAATCCCTGCTTTGTAGCCGGGGTGAAAATAGGGTTCCATGCAACTAAAGAGTCCCCGGCCCTCTGTAGCATCTCACCCTGACAGCTGGAGCCCACCAGCTGCATGGGCAGTGCTATCTTGCAGGGCTGCCCCCAACAAAGGCTGAGGCACCAGGTTGTGACCAGAGATGAGACCTGGGACTAACCTCCCCTGACCTTCTCCCACCCTTGCAGATCGACCAGCTGCGGGCAGAGCTGCTGCAGGAACGCTCCAGCCGCCAGGACCTCGAGTGTGACAAGATCTCCCTGGAGAGGCAGGTATGGCTGTGCCACGCTGCTGCTCCCAGTCTGATGGTCCTGGGGCTGGAGAGCAGGTCACTTCCTTCAGCCTGCGCAGCGGCACTGCCCACAAGTTTTGTTTTTTTTCCCGCCCCCCCCCAGCCAAGGAATCGACCCCAGGTGGGAGGGCTGGAGTTGTGGATCTGTGTGGTGCAAAATGCTGTGTCCTACAGGGAATGATCCTGCCTGCATCGGAGAAGTAGCCTGTGGGGGGGCAGCAACCCCATTCTC